CTTTCTAAAATATAAAAGTGTGACACCAATTTACCCCGGTATAACTGCTGTGGAAAGAAATATGGAGGTACCTCAAAAAAATAAAAATAGAGATACCATATGACCCACTTTTAGGAATTTACCCAAAGAAAATAAAATCCCAGATTTGAAAAGATACATGCAACCCTATGTTTATCGCCACACTATTTGCAACAGCCAAGATATGGAAGCAACCTAAGTGTCCATAAATAGATGAATGGATAAAGAAGATTCAGCACATATGCAAAGTAGAATAGTATTAAGCCATAAAAGGAAATACTGCAATTTACAATGACATGGATGGATCTAGAAGGTATTATGCTCAGTGAAATAAGCCAGCAGAGAAAGACAAATGCCATATGATTTCACTTATTTGTGGAATCTAAAAACAAAGCAGAACAGAGGAACAAAATAGCAGTAGACTCATAGACCCTGAGAAAGGACTGGTGGTGACCAAAGAGGAGGGGTTGGGGTGGGTGGGTAAAGTAGGTGAGGGAAATAAGAGACACAAAATCTCGATCATCATATAGTCATAGGGATCAGAAGGCACCACAGAGAATACAGTCGATGATTCTGTAACATCTTTCTATGTTGACAGAGAGTAACTACCGCAGGGGGGTGAGGATTTAATAACACAGGGAACTGTTGACCACTGTGCTATAGATCTGAAACCAATATAAGTTTGTGTAGCAAGCATACCTCAATAAATAAATAACAAATTAATAAAATATGTAAAAATGTGATGAGTGCTCTTGTACCTATGGTGTTTTTAGAAAGTTACTTTAAAATGATTTTACTGATTCCAATGTAAAGTAATGACATCTTAATACATTTAAGACATTTTACCAAATTGTGCTCTATACAGGCTGTTATAATATTCAGTCCATCAGCAATGCATAAAGGTACCTGCTTCCACTCTCCTTTGCTGCTTAATAGATATTTGGAGAATTATATCCCAAGAGGAAGAAATGTCTACATTTCCACTTATTTTATAATAAAATACTTTTGTATCACTCTGTCTGCCTCTAGGATGGATGCCTAAGGACACGACTTCTATTTCAACAGAGAGCAAGGCCAGTGTTTCCAAGAAATGGCTTCTCTGCTAAGTGTGCAAAGGTTTATATATTTATATATATAGTACATGCTTTTCTATGGCCTTTGAAGAATATCATTAGGCAATTTTGACTGAAGTTGTTTTATATAATTGATAGATGATGGCTTAATAAATGGTAACAAATTGTGATTGATTTGGGATGTAATATTTATAATATGTGATTTAGGATTTTTTTATTTTATAGTATTTTAGTTATCCCAAAAGCATAAAAAATAGGATGCTAGTAGAATATGAAATATATGATTCATATATTGGAGCACAATAATAACAGATTGGTATCAAAAAAGAGGGCTAAACTTTAGTAATTAATTGAAATTCTTGTTAGATATAAAGCGTAAGGGAGAATACTATATCAAGGTAATATAACGTCAAAAGTGCACATTCAACACTCATATGAGTTTGGATAAGTGTCATACATTTTCAGTGTCTGCCATTTGTTATTCAGAAAATCAATTTTCTGCATACTCCTATCATCTATTTTTCATTTAAGAGCAAAATTTTGCATTTTCTAGTATTTTTAATCATGTCAGTTAAAAACCATATGTGATAATCCCCAAGACTTTGCTTTTTTTTCCCAAAACCTATATACTGAAAACAATTTATCACAGCTTATGCAGAGTTTACAATTCAGTTCATATGTATGAAAAGAACCTACTACCTTCCTCAGTCAGCTTTTCCTTTGAGAACATTGTTAACCCAGTTCCTAATAAGGAAACTGCTTTGCACATTTACAGGAAAAAAGGCAAGAGTCTCCCTGGCAACCGTAGCCATGCGCAGTCTCTCAGAACAGCTCCTCCTACACTCAAGTTTCCTAGGAAGCAGGCCGCATGTATTTTATAAAGACAATGGAATAATGGGACAGATATTACCCTGTTCAACCTTGCATGTGGAAAGCTTCAACGGGAAAGATGCATTTGCTATAATAAATAGCGATTTGAGGGAAAACATTAATTGTATAATGAGGTGGCTTCCTCTGTCTAATTCAGGATTAACAGTTTAATTCAAGGCCTAAAACATATTTAGGTGTTCATGAAGAATTTTTTACAGGTGAAAATAACCACCTCCCTCTCCTTTAACCCCAGTGCTCCATCACCAAATTAGCTCATACATGTTTGCACCTAAGCTGAAGGTGAGATGCAGGTGGATAATTTCATGGCCAACACTGGTTACTTTGCATTCTCTTTGAGTTCTGCTCCTGCAGCAGAAAGGCTATTCATTTATCTCACATGAGTGGAAAGAAACTCAATTTATCCTGAAATCGACTGTAAGATGTCACAAAAGTTTACAACATCTAAACAAAACTTGTCTACAGATCTAAAAAATATTAGGAAATAAATTATGGATGGCCTAAAGGAAATGGATACTTGCCATAAAATGAAAATCTTTAAAGAGAACTGATTATATACAAGTCTATACCCCAAATTATATTCTGCGTCGAGAGGTGGGCAGAAAAAGTGACGTAAATTCATTTATTTTGTGCAGATTTCTTTCTTTCTAATATAAAAACTTCAGAAGAAATAAAAGTAAAGAGCAGATGTACATTATTATTAAATGTGGACAGATTCAATTGCAAAATTTTCTGGCTAATTAGGAATCTTTGTAAGTCAAATATTGTTTTAAAAATTATTTTCCAAACCTTTTAAAATTCTTAATTTCACCTAATAGGAATTCCTGTTCTCTGGTATGCAACTCTTATTCTCTCACAATGAATTAGGAATAAGTATCCACTGAGTTGCACAAAGAAAAATATAATTTATATGTAATTAATCAGCTCTGGAGCATTGTGAATTTTAAATTATATGCAACCAGATGGGTACAGATTACATTGTTTAAGCCTGTTTTGCTGAATATTTTAGCAGAACATCTTTACAGCTCAAAACTAAAGGGAAGAATATCACAATATTCTCATTTTAATGCCTTTCTTACAAGATACGCTGTGAGGTATCTGATCTGTTCATTTTTTAAACCAAAAATTGGGCCAAATTATTTAAATAAAATTCGGGGATAAATATTTTTATATCCTTTTCAAGTATAACCACACTTAATCCCTGTCACACACAGACATGTGTGTGTGCACACACACACATACACACACACACTTTTCATCCAATCCCCTTTATTGGATTAATTGAAATACTACGCTTTCCTTTAATGTATCATAGCCTTTTCTTCAGGTCAGCGTGTGTAACAATGTGGTTATTTTAAAAAGATGCTTTATTCTAGTGTATAAATTAAAAGTTGCTCCTGTGATAGATACTCAGTTTACTTGAACTCTGTACACACACACACATGCTTTTTTTTTTTTTTTTCCTATTTGTGTGATTCCAAGCAGTGGGAGTTTCAGCTTTGAGAATCGATCTTGGAAAGTGATCTTGAGATTGCAATACTGGTTATAAGTGCTGTGTGACCATCCCGGCACAGACTTCTTGTCCCTGGAACTGCAGGCTGAGAGCCTTGCGCAACATGACTAAGCCCTCCGTCAGTGGAGTCACTTTACCCTGCAGGCTTGCCGGGTTTGTGTTCAGCAGCGTCCTTCCTGATGCTTGTTCTTGCATAGGTCTACCTTCCTTTCCTTCCTCAGATTCCAACTGTCCCTCTTCTGTTTGTGAGCCCAGACCTGCAGCAATAAGGGCAACAAGACACGCTTCCTCCCGTGGCCAATCCCCTCCTTACTTGCGGATTTAGTACCTACCAGGCACCAAGAGCTTTACGTCCATGAACGGGTCAAATATCAGTTATTAACATCCGTCACTTGGTCATTTTGTTAGACTTGCAGTCTTATTTCCAATGTAATTGTTTCAGGCAAGGCAATTCCATTTACAGCTTTCGTGCCTTAGTTTAAAGCCCAGCTTCCAGCTGTTTCTAAGATGTGTGTGTGTGTGTGTGTGTGTGTGTGTGTTTAAGCAAATAGATCTTTCCCATAACCGCTGACGCAGTACTATGAATATATATGAAAACATGTGAAACATACAAAAAGAGGAAATAACTAACATCTGGTTTGGTTGTACAGAAGCAACGCTTATTCTGATGAGTTACAAAAGTATTCACCATTTATAACTTAATAACTAGTTGCCATGCGGCATAGTGATTCCAAATAAAGAATGTCAGAGAAATTTGTCTACAGGTTCCACCACCACTGAATTTTACCTTATAGTGAGTAAGACTAAAACTGAGACAGAATTTGACAGCAAATTTAATTTAACGCACTTCTAATTTTAGTTGCTTGGTTTACATACTACTATACTACATTGAATAAGATGTTCGAACTGAACCAAAGATACAAATTTAGTTCGATAAATGAATTAACTTCTATGGGATGTTGCAAACACGATATGTTGCTTGGATGGGCTACCTGGATATTGCCTTCGGCCCTTTTCCAACTCTGAGCTACTCTGTTTCTCATGTCGCAATCTTGTAACACAGGTCCCTATTAAAGTCTTTATATGCGGCTGAACTTTGTCCTTTTTAAATCATGTCAGCTCCATTGGCCACAGATAGGACCTTTATACCCTTTTGCAGCAGAATGGTTAATCTTTACCTAAAACTGGCAGAATAACAGTCTTTATTAGTTAAAGCTATGATGTAATTAGGGGACATCTGGCTAATTATTCTGGAAATAGTAAATATTCTTTAACTGAAAGAGCCAACTTAAATCAAGAAGAAAAATAAATCCGTTTGTAAATTGTATCAATACACTGTTAAAGAAACCAACAATGTCATGAGAACAAACATCTTCAATTTGAAGGATTATTAAGTACCTAAAACAGGTAAAACTTTCATTAATCTGTAATAAAGCTATTTAAAAAATCTGAAAAAATCTGAATGACTCTGAGGAATTTTCAATGTTGACCTTTAAAAATATTTTCATTGGGTTTATAAAAATCTACATGTAAACACAGATTCCATCTTCACAAAATATGCTTCTTTCTTCTCTGCAGAAATACACATGCTCAAATAGATCCTCCGTGTTCTGTTAGACTATCTGTGAAGGGAAACATGATCAACTATCTTTTACTTTGCACAACACTCAACTGCTTATTTTTCAACATATTGTTCAATTTATTAGGCCATATGTAATAAGCCCTAGAGCTGCCATGAAGCCTTCTTATTTGATTTGCTGGTTACTTAACAGAAAATCATAGAAAAATATAAAATGCATCTATAAAAAATAATGTGGAGTATCTTCCTTCTCCTATAGCAAGTGAGATAAACTATCTGATAAAGCACGGTGGTTTTGCCCCAGTATTAAGAAAACAGTAGTATAGAACCATTTACAGTTTTTTTCTACTTTGTTTTATCAAATTTCAGTGTATTAGATAAATACAAATAGATATAAGTAATGTTAATATAACTGACAAAAATAATATAATGAACAATTATTAATCTACCACCTAGTCCAAGAATCAAAACATAATTAATAACTTGCATTACCTGTTATTGCTTTCTGCCTGCCTTCCTTCCTCTATATTTTATCATACATATATATATATATATTCAGAACAATAAATTGCTTACTTTTTCTCGTTAAATTAGTGAGTAAAAGATTCACACTCCAGGTAATCTTGTGGGATTTACTGCTTTCATTCCACATGATACTTCCGGGATCCATCCATGTTGCTCTGTGCAACTGCAATTCATTCATTTCTCTGCTATATAGAGTATTATTAAGTTAACATACCACCAATTTATGAATTTGGATTGTTTCTAGTCTTTTTTTTCCCTTAATAAAATCTTTATTAATGAGAACAGGCTTTCGGTCCTAGTGCACCTGGTGAAGGTTCCAGTACAGGTGTGCTTGGGAATGACTAGGAGAGAGGTCGGCAGATACCAAATATGTAGCTTTACGAGATGGTGCCAGCTTATTTTCAAAAATGCTTATACTGATTGACATTCTCACTAGAAATATGTGAGATCATGGCTATGTTATTTGACGGCATTTCAAACACCTAGAGTGTATAGAACTGCTTCTCGTTTTTGCTCTAATTTCTATGTCCCAGATAATGCTGATTTGGGCAGCTTTTCGGACGCTGATCGGCTTTATGTCTCTTGTTTTGTCATGTGTTTGGCCTATTTTTCTACTGGCTCTTTCATATTTCGATCTTTTTTGATTTTTCAGGAGTTCTTTGTACTCAGCGTGCTAAAACTTTACTAGACATACTTGCATACATGCACACACATATTCTCCTATTCTGTGGTTTATGATGTCTCTCAATGAACAGGATTCGTAAGATTTTACTTTGGTCAGTTTTTAATCCATATTTGGACTGCCTTTGAGTATCAGGCTTGGTACAAACAGGCCACGATTTTTTTCTTGTCTCGCCTCATCACTTTGGGGTTCCAAACCCCAGGCAAATAAGGATGTCTGTGAGCTGCAGGTCATAGCCAAACAGTGCACACTTATAAATCTTCCCGTCAGGCACCTGACACGAGTTGATGAGGAAACCATTCTAAAGAGAAGCAATATTTGCTTTGCAAAGAGTGGCTGCCAGCCAGCTCAGAGCTGCCTAAGCCACAGTGACCTCGTAGTTCCCAGAGATCGATTTCCACCCTCGAGGTGGTGCAGCCACAGCTCCAAGTATTGTTTCCTCTCTAGGAAACCAGTCACCTCTCTGCAGACCATTTGGAGCACGGCCCGCGTCCGCATGGTCAGGTAAAAACCAAGCCAACTGAGAAAATCACTACCATGGATTTCACGGTGTTCTCAGTAATACTACTGGGGGCAGAGTGGGTATAATTTGCCCACACTCCTAAGACCCCTGCTTTACTTTCCCAGCATCATGATTTCACTGAAATTATCTCTTTACAGAAATACGTTTTAATTTTATCCATAAAAAAGGTGCTTCGATTCAAATGCTCCACTGACAGTATAATTTGGCCTAGTATCTGGGTTAACATTTTACTCAGCACAGGTACAATTATGCAGGTATTCATTCTCTGAATCATGTGTTTTTAAGCCTTTCAACATCAAATGTCAGATTCAATATACAAGAATGTATCATGTTCTTATAACCAGGAATTTTAATTTCTCAAAAGGAGAGAAAAAAAGATGGGGAAGGGAGGTGTTGGCGGGGGGAGATGTAATGCCTTTATTTTTCTACAAACAACCTTCCCGTTGCAGGAACGGGGAGGTGAGGCAGAGAGGCCACTAACTGCAGCAACTAACTTCTCCAACTTCAGCCATATTTTTCCTGTTTTCTCTCTCTCTCGAAGCTTGGACAGTGCATTCATAGAAAACTCTCTGGCCCCATTCCCCTTGCCATCCCTGATTCAGCCTTTATATAGAGGAACCCTGGGCATCTTGGAACAAAGGATCAAATATTAGAAGGTTAGCCATCCTGACGAGCTTTAACGTGGGAGTTAATACAAGCATGGAAATCTTCAGCTAAGCTTCCAGGCCGCACAGGGCAGGCGACTGTAAATAGAAGACCCTCTCAGCCCACCAGTCAGCCAGGCCCACATCCTCGGCTATCTCCTTCTCCTACTTCCCAACATCCAATCAGTTTTCATATCTGCTGATTACATCACATCATAATCTTTCATTTGAACTTTGTACTTTCTATTTTTACTTCCAACAGCCTAATTTAAGTTATATTTACTTCTTGCTTAGGTTTCACTAATTATATCTTGTCTGGCTTCTCTCTTCCAGGCACTGTTTAAATCTTCCCCAGCCTGCAATCACTGCCAGGTAAGCTTTCTCCGTCTCTAATCATGTTATTTGCCCATGCTTAAAAAACCTCCAAATACCACTTGTGTTTTCAGAACAATTCCCTAACACTTAATTCTGACGGCAAAAAGATGGAAAGGGTGGTGATTTCTCTGTAGAATGACAACTTGCAAATTGCTCCATAAGTATAAACTAGAGAACTGAGCCTGTGAAGTTAGCAGTCTTGCTCTTAATTTTGTGCTATTAAAATAATTCATTTTTATATTTGTGTAAGTGAGATGATATGCACAAACAAAATCAGAGTGCATAAAGTCACTTTTTTAAAGTGACTAATAAAAAGAAAGTACTGGGCAATGTGTCATCTATACCCAAACGAACTATTTGTTTTTTGTTGTCGTGAAGGTTGTTAACAGTCCCTAGATGCGTGGAGCCTCCACAGGAGCCCAGGAGCCTGCGTGAGTCTGTGTTACAAGCAGGTCCTTCTGTCCTGATGGGTGGTGACAAGGTTCTTGTCCTCGCGGCCAGGGGGACTTGACTCCAGGCTCACAAACGCATGCCTTCCTACGTGGCAAAGGAGCAAGGAATTGTCTTCCCTGTGTGGAAATGAATGGCTGATTTTAGAATTACTGCTAAGTGAGAGTGAGAGGGTTTTCTTGATAATAATAGAAACGATCTCATTGAAGCTTTTCTAAGTTTACTTATGAATCGCTGGTATTGGAGATCGGGGTGATTTTCTTCTTCGAAGGACCATTTGCCCTTTTGGGCAGACAGAGTGGGACCAATGACTTCAACACAGTCAGGCACCAAGCGGTCTAAACTGCATTCCACCGACGGCGGTGCCCCGTCCACCTCGTGATTGCCTCTGCTCCTGAGGCACAGTCTTCCTAAGGGGCTCCATCTGAAAACCTGGGGTGCTTGCCAGCCTCCCTGTGGCTGGCTCTGAATAGAAATTTCCTCCTTATCATAGTCTCACTCTATGCAGTTGTAAAATGTAGTACATGACTCTAAAGAAAAGCAACAGGCTGCAGGGCTCCTGTCTCGGACGCCCCACTCTTAACACCATGGTTCTAGTCTCAGAGTTCTCTCATGTTCGTTTTTTGCCCTGCGAAACTCCTAAAAACATAGTTTCTCTGCTTATTAAGAGTAGCCTTCTGACCCTGCAGTCTGCCTGGATATCTAGCATCTTGCTTCATTGCAGAATGTGCAAATATCCTGAGGTTTCCAGAGACTAGAGAATAATGGCCCACATTTCTTTTCTGAAAATTTCACTCGTAAGTCTAATTAGTCCCAATAATTATCAAATACCCTCAAACAATAGTTCTATCTATCTATCTATCTATCTATCTATCTATCTATCTATCTATCTATATCTATTGTCTATTATAGTTTTTTGGACTTCGGTTCCCTGTCTTCTTTTCACAGGATATTTGATTTGTACGAGATACCCCCATTGTATCTTAAAACAGAAGTTCCTCATTTGTATTTTTTAATGATTTTTTAAAATATTTTGAGAATGATACCCTGAAAATATAGAATCTTTCTTTCATTACTTCTGTAAATAGATTAATTATTGACTTTCAATTATTTTAACTAGCTAATGAATCAGAGAAAATAGACATATAGAGTTAAGATATATTTGTTCATCACACAGTTGCAGGTGTATGTAACTGTATTTTATTTTTGTTTTTATCTTTGTTTTCATCTTGTAATGTGAAACTTAAGCCAAAAATGGGATAATTTAGTCTGTCGGTCCTTCAGCCAAATGGGATCATTGGCAATTTATTTTACTTTTACTCCTAACCATCAGTGGTAACTCAATTATATTTCAAGCTAATATATGTTCTACGCAATCACACAACCCCTAATTGCCTCTAATTTCAGTCATTTTAGTATTCGAAGCAGTTGTTTCTGTTTTCCCATTTCAAGCTGGAAAGACAGAAAGTAAAGTGAAATTTGCAGCAAACTCATCCCACAGCCACACAGTTATGTAGAAACTACGAAACTGGCCATGTCTACGAATGGATAATTAATCTGTTTCTCAAAAAAGGAAATCAGCTTACGCATTTTATAGATGCAGAAAGAGAAAAATTATTTTACAATTTTAAGAAGGCCGACACTTCTTAGTTGTTTCTAAAATGATCTCATGTTTATTAACTGCTAAAAACACAAACTCTTGTATACTAACATTTACAAAACCAGTTATCAGTTTTCTGATAAATGCATACAGTTGTTCTCAAACTGAATCAAGTAGCCAATAGATTACAAGCACAAATGGAAATGCCACATAGATTTATCCTTCGCATCCCATGTACGATGGATATCATCTGTCTTTAGTAACATCGTTTCTAATTAACAGGGGACAGTAGGAGCACCTCTTCTGCTACTTGAAGAGAGATGGGATCAACTTTTCCCAATTTCCCTTTATCTCATGAGGCACAGCTTTTAACTTACATGTTCACTTTCCTTATTTTTTTTGCCTTTGGCCTGAGGACAAAAAATTTAAAAAGAACACTAACACTGATAAATAATATTTATCTGAGAATATTTCAGCCAGCGGTTCTACATTCTTCTTCTAAACCACACTTAGAACCAGTCTGATGCTTAACTCCATGGCTAACATCCTGAATTCATCTTCTGCCCTTTTATCTCACTTAGGGACTTGAAGTGACTCTTGCACTTCGTTACCTCCCCAGAAGTGCCTCTCCTCAGACTTTGCCGGTTTTTGATTTCATTACTTCATTCGTTCCTCTGCACCAATGGCTTCCCTTCAGCAGTGCCCCCCAACCCCACCTCCCACCTGAACCGGCCAATCCCCTAAGCCCTGTGTTTACTGTTTCCTTACACTGTTTAATCTCCTTCAAAATGATTATCACACACTGAAATTACACAGGAGTTGAACTGTTTACTCTTTATCTACTAAACTCAAGTAAAAGACCATGAGCAGGTACCTTATTAATCTTTTTCACTAATGTTATTTCCAGCCACCAAGACATTTTCTAATACATTTTTTGTTTGCCAAAATGAGTAACAAGTGAATGATAAAAGTACCCTTCTTCCAAGTCACGGATACAGTTCATTACGAGAAAAGGTGTAGCTTTGCAGTTTTGAAAATATCATGTCCAGAAATGTCATTTTTATAATAATCATTTCTAAGCACTAATTTGCTAGTAAATGCCTATTGAATTAGAATACCGTGGCTACTTATTAATGAAATATATACATACACACACACACACACATATATATATATATATATATATGAAATAATCTATTGATTATGTTTTACTTTGGTAACTTGAAAACACATCACTATTTCTGAAATATCAAAGTGATTTCTCTATTACCAAGATATTACTCTGCGTGTTTTTCTCCTAAACAGAACCCATCACCTACTAGCCCCTCACGAACTGTTCTTCACACATGTACATACCATGCATATTCTTAAGCACATACTCCATAAATATATTCATGCCTGTACATACACACACATGTGCCTGCTGCTATTTCAAACTGATTCTGTGGATTCTGTGCTCATTAAAAGGTAAGAACCTTGGCCTGAGCTGATATGATTCACAGAAAAACCAACTATTATTTTACTCTGTTGAGAAAGTGTCATTGATAAACATATCATATGAACTAATTCTAAATTTAACTCCTGAACCAAAATGATATTTAAAATCTACTTAGACTTTGAGAATACAGATCTTTGGAGAAAAAAAGAAAAATAAATTCTGGAAAAGATTTCTTTTAGTTTTAAAGTAGTTAAATGTACTTATTTCATTTTCTTAAAGAATTTCTAAGTTCAGACAGACACTAAAGCTTCTCTGAAATGTAAGCTAATAGGAACTCAGATTCTTAGGCATAGTTCAAACAGTTGGATCTGTGAACATTGGGGTCTTGCCAGTAATATGAACTACTATCTCCAATTCCTTATGTATCAGTAGCTCTGAAAGTAGTCAAAGCTGTAGAGTTTAAAAGCCTAGTATTACAGCTGGAAATGATCAAAGATCACACAGCAGGAACTGTCTATGTGAAAACACCAATTCTCAGCATGAAGGCTTGTGAAATTTACCACCAGTGGCCAGCAACACAGCTCGAGTGTGACATTTGACTGAGGTTTTACGTCTGAAATCAATTGTGCTAATCATGTGCTCTTGCTTTCGATCCTTAGTTTATAAAATGAAGAAATTGAACTATGTCTTCTCAATAATCAGTAAGACACAGTAAGCGTTAATCCATCATTAAGTATAGCTTCTTCAGAGTGATACCCCATTAAATCAATCAAAACTGGAAAGTTAATATTAGTGAAAACACACAAAGTGGGAAAGTTAGTACTAATGAAAACTGTCATTCAGGGCATCTCACTACAAGAGAAAAATACGTATAAATTACATTTACGGTAAAGAGTGCCTTTTCATAGAAAATGTTGGTAAGAGAATTGGGGAAGTTACCCTGTAAATTTAAAAAGTGCAGTGCATACTCAGGACATGTCTGTTGATGAATGACATCACATGCACTTCAATCTGCTCAGCTATTCTTAGTTTTAAGTCCACGGAACAAAATAAAAGATAAAGCAGCTTAAAATAGAAGTTGACTATTCTGAATCTCGTTTAAGTTGAATATTTTTCTACTCAGATGGAGGCTGGAATATATTTTAGAAGATACTAAAACTTGATCTTTTTTGTTTTGTCCAGCTGTCTTTCTGACCTCTATCTTTAAGCTAATCTTCAGTTAGTTACACATAAAATGAAAATTCTCATCTTTCCTTCTGCCTGTCTGACTCCAGGAAATGTTTGCCTCCCACAGAGCTTCGCTTTGCCTCAGTTAAGTGGGAATGTTTGAAATAAAATCTCTCTCAGTCTTTCTTACCTGAAGCACAATTTTGCCTTACTTTTCATTCTTTCCAAGTTTCACGGAGAAGCTGAATGTCTCCTGGTATAACAAATGACAAAATGTTTCCTGCTAAATGTCAGTGGTGTGCACTGAAGGGCATGAGGATAGAAAGTCTTATCTAGTTGACTGTTTGATGAGAGGAAGAACGCCATTCTCATATAAATGCTGATTTTAATAAGCAGACTGTACCATTTCTGTTAAATGGTTGCTTTTCTTTGGAAATCCTTAGAGCAGAAAGCATGTCAAATATTAATTATAACTCATCACCAAATTATGGTATGTTATCAAAAATCTCAAATAACCCCAACATTACTTAACTGACTTTTGCTTTTGAAAGGACTATGGCCTGGATACCATGCTTAAAAACTTCCAGATTCTGCAAAACTATAACAAACATAATTTTTGGTGTTTCGTTAAGCTTGGAAATTATTAAGGAAAACCCCCAAGAAATAACTAAATAAAAATAAAGTGAGCTGAATCAGTGTTAGGACAAACTTAATGTTCTGGCTTTTTTTTTTTCTGCCAGAAGAGAAGAAGGGAAATCTCCTAAAAATAACTTAGCAGATAATGAAGGACTCCTCTCTCAGAGCATGATTGTGATTAAGGGATTTCAATGCAACTGTGAGCAAAGAGCCCCGAAAAGATAACTGTGGATGTGTGTTTTAGCTCTAGACTAAACTGGCTCTCCTGAGAGCTTGTAATGAAGGCCTGTTTCACTTGGGTCTAGACCTCAAAGTTGTGATGCCCACGTGGTTAGAAGACCTGTAGGTAAAGAATTAAATTAAGGAATTCTTTGGCACATACAGACGTTAAGTTCAAATTTCCTGGATGGAAACTTCTTCAAATGAAAACCCTTCATCTAGTGCTTAGGCAAAATGAACTCAGTAGGAAAAATAAAAAAAGAGAAGTAAGTCAATGTTAGTGAATATAAGAAAAAACTCTCAAAGATTTCAGAAGACATTACCACATGAAACATATATGATTAATCATGCACAAAGTAATTAAGAACTTGAAACAAAATAGCCATGTATAATAAAGCCATCAGAAACAGCCAGAAATATTTTTGAATGGACTACTTTAGAAATTAAAAAATAACCATTGAAATAAAAACAACTGATGAGTAATGTAGCCAATTTGGTGATAGATTAAAAATCATTGGACTACAGAATATATCTATGAGATTATACACAGCACAGTACAGAGACACTAGCAGAGATAGAAAATAGGAGGTGGAATTTAGAACACATGTAGTACAAAATGAAAAAAATTATTACTGTTTTATACAGAGTTCCTAAAAGGGAGGTGAGGGATAGTTTGAAGATACAGTGCATGAGAAAATTCCAGAAAGTTTGAGTTCAAATAGCTCAGTGAATATTTATAATAATAAAACGTAAGTCCACATCTAGGCCTACTGTGGTGAGAGGGAGGGGCACTAAGAGAAAATACTGATCTCAGCCTGAAAGAAAAGGACAGATCACACACAAAGGAATCACATATATTAGAATAATATGCACAAAATGCTAGGAAATAGAACTGCTAACCCAGAACTTTATACCCAACAAAACTACCTTTCAGTAATGAGTGAGAAAAATATATCGAGAGGAAAAATATGACACAGAAATAAGAATGTGTCCAAGCTCAATAGAAAAACAGACAGAAGAAAAAAAGGAAAAGGAAAGAAAAACCAAGATAAATTCAATGCATACATACAATGTGTAAAAAGATCTGCCAGTTGTTTCAGTGAACAATCGGTCTAAGTGGTGAATAAATACACGAGACATGCCCCTTCTCATTAGTAATCTGGGCAAAGCCAAGTGACATATTAATTTTACACTCAACAAAAAGAGTATCTGGAAAACACCAGTGTGAGTGAGGTCAGGCAGCAGCTGGAATTCCCATGCAGAGCGTGTGTGGACACACATCGGCATGACTGCTTTTGATGACAGCAGGACACTAGCTACATGATTTGAAAGACATGCATACTTGTGACCAAACATCGTCAGTCTCAGGAACGTACCAAAGAGAGTCTCCAACATTTGGGCCTCAGGAAGCTTTTGCAAGACTATCCCTGAAGCTCCGATTTTAACACGAACACTAAAAATAGTCTGTGTGTTTCGACATTTCCCTTTGACAGACTCAGGGCTATATTGCATTACAGGGACAATAAATAAATGAGGGGCAGCAATAAGCATGGAATTCCCAGGCATAATATTAGAAGCATAACCAAGCCCCAGAAGGATACATGAAGGATAGATGCCATTACACTATTTACATATAAAATTTACACACATGCATGTATTTACATAATTTAATAACATATTGCTTTGGCATACACACATTTGTGGTAAAATTACAATGAAAAGCAAATAAAATGTAAACAGATCAGAGAAATGATTAACATTAAAGAAAGAACAACGGAAGTAAAGTGGAACCCAAATAGGAATCAGCAAATGGAGGTCCTTAAAATTACAGGCAAGATTGTATAGTTCAGATGAGTGGTCATCAGTATACATATCTTGGTCTATCATACTTTGTACAATATATGTAAAATATAGCTTCTTCCATATGAATATTTCTTTTCAAATGAATCAGGTAATTTGACCAAATATCTGTTATTTTACATTTAATTTAAATGTGCTGCACACTGCTTGACAATTGTTCACCCAAATCAAAGGCATCATATGCCTTTAGAATTACAGTCTTAAGAGTTTTGCTTCAGTTAATTAGAATGTAAAACCTATAACTGACATTACAAATACTATTCCTATGTAATGCATGTGGTATTTTTTTATTTAGTATAATTCTTGTTTTCCAGATGAACTCTTTTTGTCTAGATTTGCTGCATAATACATTATAGACCATGAATTATCAATAAATATCCTAATACAGTAACTGTTGAGCCAAATTCACTCCCCAGATTTCTCATAAAGCTCAAAATAAATATCTCACTGCAGATAGTTCTACTCTATCTTATTTATACTTTCCCACATGCCTTTTCCTCTTTTTTTTAACCCTTTTCCAGTTCCCAAATGTTCCGTTGTACAGCCAAAATCCAAGAGTCTCAATAGTGTCAGTCCCTTCAGTTAAACTAATTTTGAGCAAAAGAAAATATGTTCTTCCCAAAACATTGGGAACTTGGTTATTATTATTATTTCGATTTTATGTTTACGGAAACAAAGTCTCAGATTAAGTAAACTGGGATCATGCAATGTGTGACGGACAAGGATTTAAATTTATATTTGAGTAACATACTTTATGTTATTTTCCAAAACATGGTGCTGAAAGAGGAATTCTGTCTCTTGCTATCTATCTATCTACCTACCTATCTCTCTATCTCTCTATCTCTCTATCTCTCTCTATATATATATACATATATACACACATACATACACACACACATATACGCACTTAAATATAGGTTCCCCAAAGAGTGTATGATATGCCTCAAAATATTGTTACCATGAGCAGAATTTTCATTTGTTACATCCGTGCACTCCACTGTCATAATGACTGAATTTTGACATTAAAAAAATATTTTCATTATTACTTTATTTGAATTAGTATTTATGAGAGCAGTCTCCTCCTACACTGGTCGAAGACTCTCCAGGCCGTAGATCTGTGCTAATTCTTAAAAGTGCTCTTAGGTATGATTCATCCAGTTTCTATAGTGTCACAAAATATAAATCATCCTGTGTACAAATGTGAATTTTGAGTAGTGTTAGAATAATTTTAGCAAAACTCTTCTATTCTAGACTCTGGAAGTCCTGCTTTGAAAGGGATGGCAGTAATTCCCTGTACAGTTTGTCATTAAAAATAAAAATCTGATAATATATGTGATGACTTCCATTTATGAATTTGAAAGGAAATCATTTCTACAATACTGTTTTGCTTTAATGACATTTCTGTTTTAACCCTAGCTGAACCCAAATGCTAGGAACATTTTGCTTTTAATTAATTTAATTTTTAAGTAGAAATACATATATTTTATCAGAGTGTAATAATGATTAGAATGTACCTAATATTATATGACAAATCAAAGATGAAAACGGGCAGTCAGCCAGAAATAGGGTGTTATTTCATAGAGGCGATATGTTTTCATGATTAGTATGTCATTTAAAAAGCAAAGACCATAAATAAAATGACTTGTATGATTATAAAAAATAGAAGAATATGAGATCACCTGAAAATATTCAAATTGATTCTTTCATATAAATACAAACTACTTTTAGAGTCATTAATTCAAAAGACTTAACCACATTCTCTATGTATATGCATTCTCCGTGTATATGTGTTCTTTATGCAGTATAAAATCTTTGAATTTAGTATGAGAATCTCTGTATATATATTCTCTATGGATACGCATTCTTTTTGCAATATAAAATCTCTGTCTTCAAATTTAGCCTAATTGAGGAGGTAAGACCTACACTGGTAAAATGTGAGGATTAGATAAACATACCATCAACAATGGCATAAACTGTTAGTTCTTGAGAAATGGTGAAAATTTGAGTAGATGGAGAGAAAATGGACAAATCTGTAGTTGAAAAGTTTGAGATGGAGTGGGGGATGTCAGGTGCTTCCTAACCCTCTGACACCTCACTGTTCTTTCAGCGCTCGGTGACTCGACTGAATTAAGTTACCCGTGCTATGCTGTGACTGTCTGTGTTGCCTTAGTGCCTTACCTACTTAAAATGAGTTAACCTTTGTATTAAATGTGCTAAAGAAGGAATAAAAGCTTCATTTGAGTCGATCTTGCCCTGTGTTTATTAAACAATATTAGGCCCTTTTTACTCAGTGCGGAGGAAGCTGTGCCTCCAGAATAGATGGGGAGGGGTGGACGGCGCAGAACGTGGACCAGCAAGGGGCCCAGAGGAAATGTAACTTGGCATAAAACATTCACCTGTAAAGAGGAAAAGGGATGACCTGGTTCTTTGCTTTTATGTGACATATTCTAAGGGTAAGATAGTCCTTTTCTTTTTGCTGGAGCGTCTATTTGTGCGTGAAATGCATAAAATGTCCACACTTGGATGAAAGTCCTTCGTGTTGGCCATGTCTAGCCACTCCCTGTGGAGCCCACCCGCCTGCTCACAAGATGCCCAGCACGTTGAGCCTGCAGCCAGGGAGTGTTTCCAGAAGGGATTTTAACAAAATAACCTAAAACTATAGAGGACATTCCACCACTTACCTTTGCCCTTCAATTCATATCTCCAAGAGTATGATCAAAATGTATCAGTAATCTTTTGAATTTGTCAGAATTATGTACAAAACTGATGAGTTGAGAGGAGCAAAATTACATTTGCAGTATATTATCCTTGAAGAAGAAGAAAAGCTGTAGTATTCGTAGGCACAATATTTTAAGCATCTCTTCTCGTGCTATTTTACAGAATATGTCCAATAAAGCCACTGGCTTGCCCTAGTTACTAATTGTCCGCCCCATAAGATTTATTTTTTCCTCTCTCCTTTTTTTTCCCTTCTTAGCTCTTACATCATTTAAATACCCAGTGATTAGTGCCATCATCAACTCCTTTTCTTCCCACATGTTGATTTAATTTAGCATGTGGAGTTTCACAGCTGCATGGGTATTGATAAAATTTTGGAAAAACAAGATTAGGTTTATTTTAGTAGTATACAACTGGCAGACGCTTTAGAGTTTTATGTGTTTCCTTTGAAAATGAACTGCCAAAAACCTTATTTTTCAACAGCATTCACATTTCTCCTACCAACAATATGTTTCACATTCTTAAACTCAATTAAACGGCATCTTCCCTGGAAATTTTACTTTTGGAGTTAGAAAATAATACAGACATCTCAGGTGGATTTATGCACGCTATTTAGTGACATCAGGTTCTTGTCAGGCACCCAGCAGAAGAACTTGTCTTTTAAAGTGCTAATTGCTTCTATATTAATATCCTTAAAGGTATTATTATCAATATATTACTAATTTATGAGTTTTTAAAAATTGCATATAAAATGTTTCATCAGCTCAGTAATCCTAAGAGGTAAGCAAGGGTGGATATTATTTATGCTTTATGGATATGGAAAAAATGGCTAACAATAGAATAAGCAAGCTGTTGAAGAGAATAAACACTCATTCTGATTTCTTAGATCTTAGAAATTTCTGTTCATTGTTATTAAAATAAAATGATTATTCTGCATTGACTCCTTTTTAAAATAATTTTTGTGTTGTTCAAAGCTTGGAGGCAGTTGGAGGATGAGAAAAAGATCAAGTAGCTGGGAATTCAGAAATCCCTAGATTTTAGTATCATCACCATTTTTCGTCTCTGAAGGTTTTTTACCCTTTTATTTCAACAAATGAGAAAGTGTGTCAACCAAGTAACTCATGCATGCATAACATTTTATGTTGCTTTCATTTATTAATAGAAAACTGCATTTAGACATCACTTTTTACTGTGACCAGTAATAGAAAACCCACACAAAAGTATGAATAGAAGAACAGAAAATCGAGATTTTATGTAGATTTCTAAAATTCATGTATTCCATTTTCTTAAGAAAATTAAAAAGAAATAAAGCAAGAGTATAGGCAGAAAATAGAAATGGTACAAAGAAATGATCATGGAAACTAATAATGCAGACATCTTCCACATTCCTAGAATATCGCTTAAGAATAATAAATTAAAGAACTGTAAATACTAATTAAATCTTCATTTAATCCTCTCAAAATCAGTGCATAGTTACTTGCCTATCTTTTAGATCATGATAAAACTAAATTTTATGGAGATTAAGTCACGGATTTGGGGTCACATTATTGAAGATGACAGAATCGGGATTCAAAACAAGGTCTGTCTGTCTCCAGTACCCGTGACGTTGGGGGGAAAGAGAAGAGAGGTTATGGGGTAAGAAGACAGACAAGGAGAGGATCAGTTATGGGATGGGAAGACACAGAGGAGTTACAGGACGGGAAGACAGAAAGTCAAAGGTGAAAAGAAACCACGTGGTGTGGCGCTAGGCGGTTTCACATACAGTGAAAGTATTTCATTACTCACAGCTTGTTTGTTTTTACTCATGTCTACTTTCAACAAGTCAGAAAACGGGAATTCAGAAATTAATAGCTGTGTTTAGGGCAGACAGTTGGTAGAGGGTGAGCTAGCATTCAATAATGGGTATATCAACTCCTGTATTTCAATGTCTTTTTCTCCTTAATTCAAAACCCACCTGCCAACTATTAAAACCATCTACAATGCCTCAGGTGACTCAAAATAAATCGGCCCTAAGCCATCCCATCATCTGTAACCGTTCCCCACATGCTGTGTATTTTGTCTAGTTTGGTGAATCATACCATTATTTACCCAATAATAAGAAATATGAGCCTCTGGTAGATTCTATGCCTTTGCATTTTAGTGCTGTACTTCCAGAATGTCAAATAGTGTAAGATGACTTCCTATATGAGTCCAGGTCTTTCTTACATCCTATAAAATCTTCTTCTTTTTCTGTAAACAGAGAAGGAGATCAAATCATAATCACTATCCTGTGAGGTAATAATAACCATACCCATAGCTAACATTTATGAATTGTCATATGCAGATACTGTTCTATGACTTTAAGAGTTTTAGTTCATTTAATTTTCATATTATTACCACTCTGCAGATGGTGAAACTGAGGTAGATGGTGTTTAGATAGTTTGCTCAATGACACCCTTCCTAGGCGGTGAATGGCCACGGTGGAACCACAGGCGATTAGCCTCAAGGGCCCTCGCTTTGACATCTGTGCTATACTGATCCAGTGACTGGAAATGGGTGACGTCGACATCCAGCAGCCCATTCTAGTTGCGGGGGTACCAGTGGAGAACGTACCCCTTTTGAACTCGGTATGCTGGGCAGGAGACCAGAGCAAAATTCAATGTGACTGCACAGTGGGTACCTGCGTGACTTCAGGCAAGCTACCTAATAATTCTGGTTGTCAGTGTCATCATATGTAATATCAGAGATTTGGTCTGATGAAGTTTAAGGTAAACAGATAACCCTCTGTGTGCTAAATTCTCATTAAATAAATACATTACCCTTTGTATTCTCTCAAATCAATCTATACATTGAAATATCAAGAGTTTTAATTGAAGGGACTTTTACGGCAGTGAGCACTTCAGTTCAGCACACGACATATGCTGGAAGAGTCGTCTCGAATCCAAAAGTCACCTGCACAGCTGTGTAGCCCACAAGGACATTGACCCCTCACGAGAGGGAAATGTGCCTGTTCTAGCCATCGTCCTAGAGTCTAGAACAGTGCCTGGGGAAAAGTTCCTGTCAAATCAATATATCTTGCTTTTTTTGAAAAGCTAACGATTGAATTAATTAACCACTGGAAGAAAACAGTTCCTGCCATGCCTTTGTTTGTGGCAAAACAAACACAAAAGCAAGCCAACAAACAAAAAAACAGAATACTAAACACCAAGAAGATCTCTTTCCTAGACATTTCAACCATCCAACATTATTGTCATCTTGGAAAGCACACTTTCAGCCCACAGAGCTAGTGAGACATTCTGGAAAAGGCTGGGGACGGTCTCCAAGGTGAGTGGACATCTTAGCCTGGTCAGGCTGCTGTAACCAAACGCCCAGAGCTTGTGGCTTATGAACAGCAGACATTGATTTCTCACAGTTCTGCAGGCCGGGAGTTCTCACGGCGTCAGTGGGATCTCGCCGGAAGAGCTCAGTGGTTGTGTTCCAGTCTCTACAATCTCTTCGAGAAAGATTGTTCTGAAAGCAGATGGAAATAGACACGAGATCCATTGAAAGTTTCAAAATAACGTATTTTGTATGAGTAGTTATATGGATGTCCATATATATATATACTAGTGATGATAATTATGAGCTATCAAATCCATATTTAATACTGTCTTACGTGATTATATAATGAAACCATAAGATAAAGGGGAGGTTAGCTTTATATGTTCATAAATTTATTGATATTTTTTTGAAAGATGCTTTATTGTTTTGTGATATTATTCCGCAGCCCACTCCACAGTCCAAGACAGGTTTGGGGGTGTTTCCCCACTGTATCTATTGGTGGTACATTTGTATATTGCAACTTTGAAACGGACATCCGATAATCATCAGCGTCATACTTAATTGTTACGGCCTTTTAGCTGACACCCATTACGTCATTCATATCTTCTTTACCTGCAGTTTAAACAGTTTTGAAATGAAAGTTAGACTCCAATAACTTCTGTGTTTTTTGTGAGGTATATTTTGTCCCTTATAAATGCCTATAAATGATACTTTCACAAGTTTGATGACACTTTCTTCCTCAACACATTTAAAAAATAAGGTGATGACAGTATCTTCCACAGCAAGCTTTATTTTGAATGTACAGATCCATAGAATTTCTAAAGGACTGTATTTTAGTCTTTTTCCTTAAATCTAAGTTCTAAGAACCTGTCTTTATTATGTCTCCTTTTAACATGACATTCAAGTGGAATGCAATTATTCCCAAATGTTTTAATAGGTCACTATATTTACCATGTCAGATACTTAGAAGTGTGAGTTCAGGTATTTAAATGACAGAAAAAGAAAAAGAAAGCCAGACCTAAGCAGTCTTTTTAATTTAGAATATGTGTGACACAAAAAGGCCTTCTCTTTGAGGACAATAATTTAGATTTTTTAAATTCCCTTTTCTGGATACCTGTGACTAAAATATTTTACCTAAATTTGCTCTGGGAAGGAAAGGCAAGAAGGAATAGAGCTGCTTAAGGACTTTGGGAAGAAGCAATTCTGGTGTCATTTGGTTCAAACTAAGGCCCTGCGTACGACTGAGCAGTTTTGCAGAGAAGAACAGATGAAGAGAGCAGACAGAGGGTTTTCATGCAAGTTCACCTTTGCCAAACTGGAGCTCTGCTAGGGAAGTTCAACCTCTTCTCTGGTTTGATCTGCAACCCGGCCTTGAAAGGGAAATCATTGTGCCCCTTTTTACGTCTTGGATCTAAGGTGCAGAGGTATTACATAGGCTGTCCAAGGTCAAGTGGTTCTCAAGGCATAGCTGAAACCCAAATCCACGTTCTGACAAATGCAGGACATTTTCCACCATGTTAGAACCACCTGCTCATATGAGTTGCTAACAACCCCTGGGTAGTAGGACGATTAAGTTAGAGTTGCTTAAAGAATTATGCTTTTCAAAATTAAAAGAGAGGGTAGAAGCTTCTTTTATTAGAGTATAAATGCAAATGTGTTTTCCAAATCATATACCACCAACAGGAAGCCTGCAGAAATGAATAATTGTGCCAGCTATCAATCTTTTCATGCATAAAATCCAAAATTTGCTACTCTGCCTACAGATGAAATGTCATTTTATAAAAAGCTAATAATATGCACCCACAAGTTCGCCTGTCAACACCAATGAGCCAATAGCAATTTGCCAAAGCTAAAATTGAGTGTAATACTAAAATCATTTGAACATAGGCATAAAATCGCACTGTTTATTCAACTGTGTTGACTGTCAATAGAATTTAGTTTTAGAATGAACCAGAGGATTTTGGAGTTACCAAACTATGGATAATTTGAATGACGTTGGAGATAGCAATGGTAACTGCAAGATACGGAAGGGCCTGTGGGCAGGGGAGAGGGGACCTGCTCCTGTCCGGGCAGGAGTGCGGCCCACACGGAAACTCTCATGCTTTCATCCCTGGGATTATCCAGGACTTCATCTTTAATCCCCACTCTGTGCCCGAATTTATATAAGGATTATTCATTTATTTGTTTAAATCTACTCTAACTTATTCCAGGAAATAACTGGGACAGTTTACATACAGAACTTTACAAGATGGAATAAAAGAAAAAAATAGGAGTAAAAGGAGGAATAAAAATAAGGAGGGAGTTACGAATGACCTAGGGATTTGGGACAACAAAAAGCAAACTACAAAAAACATATGTTGTTTTAAGTCAGCTCGTGTTGGCTGTAAGCTTTGTAGTACAAGTGCAAGAATTAGAATTTGATCTGGTATGAAGCCTACTGTACCCATAAAGTGAGAAACAGGCTTGCCCCTGAAGAGAGTGGCCTTCCCCAACAGAAACATGAAGGTGTTTCTGTAGACATAAATATGTCATAAACATTCCCTGTGTTTCTCTGTCTTCCTATCTTCTTTCTCTACCTTTTTTAAAGAACACCCACCCTTGTCTTCCCACCCCATCGTCCACTCCTGGGGCTGACAGGAAGGATGCTGTCAGCCTCACAGCCCAGCAGGGGTGGCGGGGGGCAGGCATGGAAGACGTCTTTCCTCGGGCCTGAGAAAGTCGGATGCTGACGGGGAAGGTGTGCTGTGCAGGCCTTGGAGGGAGTGCCCTGTAGCCAACAGACAGGAACGGGGACCAGGCTGCGAAGGACATGGCAAAGGAGAGGCTCAAATGATCATGAATTAGGAGACACTGGGCAAACAAGTCAGTATATTGATGATTGTGGGAGTCAGGTTTTTCTTAGTGTCTGAGAGGAGATTAGTAGTTATAGAAACATAAATAGTGGAAATACTAAAAAAAAAGAAAAATCTAAAGCTGCAGCCACTGCATTAGGGTATTTCATGTTGATAGACTAGTAAGCAAATAAAGGAATTATTCTCATGGATTGAATGACTTATCAGAGTTAGGATGAGGAGATGGGCTGCTGTTCTGTAGTGAAGTGAGGTTATTTCTGGGGCACGGAGGATTCACTGGGGTGACTTGCTGTTTACACGACCACCAAAAACTGCAAGCAGAAAGCTGCAGCGACTGTGGCCGTTCAAAGCCGTGGTGACCAGGGCCACGGAGCAGACAGGGAGGAAAATCTGAACTGTCAATCCACAAGTCAAGCAATCTAGATGAACTGAAATACTGGCCGTGAATGAAATGAAGAATCGGTGACAGAAAAAGGGAGTAAGATTGTCAGTTACAGCCTTGGGCCACTGCAGCAGTAGGGACTCTGTAGCCAAGTCTTACCTTTAACCTGTTCTCATTTGTAGAATCAGAGACAGGCAGAATGCACGCAGGAGGGGTCCCGGATGGACGTGAGCAGTGCCAGGCTGGACTGCAGCCAATATCGTTGCTGTCAGCCTCACCCCCTGTGCGACTTTTCTCACATTGCCCCCCAATAGCTTGTTAATGCAAGCGTCTGTGGCACTGAGGGCCTTCTCCGGACACGCGGGAGCACCCCCTGCCTGTGAGCAGAGCAGTCCTGAAGGGCCAGGAAGCTCACACCCACAGGGGCCACCCTTGATTTCACTTCTATGTGGAATCCAAAATAGCTCAACAAAACAAACTCACAAACGCAGAGAAGAGGTTGGTGGTGGCCACAGGGGAATGGGGGGTGGGGGGCACTGTGCAAAATAAGTGATGGGAATAGAGAGGCATAAATTTCCAATTTTAAAACAAATTGGTCCCATGGATGAAAAACACAGCATGGGGAATATAGTCCATAATACTGTAAAATCTTTGTATGGCGACAGAGGGTAACTAGACTTAACCATGGTGAGCATTTAGTAGTGTACGTAATTGTCGAATCACTATGTTGTACACCTGATCCCATCATAATATTGCATAACAACTGTACATCAATTTTAAAAAACAAACCACAAAAAAACCTCACAAATGTAAACTAGTTAAATCAGATCCAGCTTCGGTGCGCAGTAGGTTATTCTGGGCTGGGCAGCCTGCAGAGGCGAGCACTTCCCTCCCTGTTACTGCTCCACTCACCCAAAGTGCCTCCGGTGGACACCTTCCAAACACACCCCGTACCCTCCGGGCTGCCATTGCATTCGCTTCTTGAGGAGCTCCGTCTAAGACAATGACCAGCTGGAGAGACTGGAGAGACTGGAGACCAGGAACCAGTAGTTTATCCGATGTTCTTTACTTTGTGGTTATGCGTCTGTTCCCCTTTTTCCTGATTCTGCAATATTGAACAAAAGTAATATTGTTTCCAGGAATTTTTAAGGTATTTCTAGAATAGATAAAACTTTGAATGGAAAATCAGATGAATTTTTAGAATACATTTTGAAGTTCTATTGACTTTTTCCCCTTCCTTGTGATACATTTTCCATTCATCTTATCAGATAATCCTATTGGTGGATTTTTGTTTCTTTCTCAGCCCGAAATCAGGTGAGAAAGAGAATAGTGGTTTATTGGACATTTAGATGTTAAATTCATCATTGACTGCTTCTGGTCCTAAAAGAAAAATTAATGAGCTCACTAAAAATGTCAGATCAAGGGGAAAAAGCTGTACCATTTATTACATTGTTCTACTGGGATTGATTAAGAGCTGGAACCCTGAAATAGCAGTAATTTTTAATGGGGACAGACACAAAGTTCAGAGAAGACAACATAAGAAGGCAGAATGATTATTAAAATACATAATAAACCCTAACATGCAACACAAATGACATGATCAGGATGTTTCGAGGTTCTGTGACTGCTGCCTAAAATACTACTACTGAAAATATTCGATAGCAGATACTCATTATGCATCAGGGTTTTGCCAGATTCTCTGCTCGGTTTGGTGAGTACAAAGATAACTTGCACGTGGTTCCATAGCTTATTTCAGAAATGGTGGCTGCATTTCTTCATGAAGTTTATCCTTCCCATCTTATTTACTGGCAGGGACTTGAATGACAAGAAAGACCCAAAAGACGTCCACTGTGATATTTACTGGGGGCTCATCTTTCTTCCGATGCTTTAGCAAAAAGCATAATGAATACAACTTCAAAATATTTGAGCCATATAATATTTCTTGTACAAATTGTTATAGCTACTATGTCTGTATCTGGCTTAGATGTGAAGGGCTTGATAGTTCCAGAGGTATTTAGAAAAAAAAGTTATTGCAAATTCTTAGTGTGTGGAATAAGGTATGTAAAACGGAATTATTGTGTGGAGGATTTGGTCTCTCAAAAAGAGTCAGAGACAAGGATTTAACTGCAGAGAGTTCATTTGAGATGAAATCCCAAAAAGCAACAAGAGCAACAGTATATAAAGAGTAAATTATCAACTTGCTGATAGGAACGGATGCCATACAGACTCAATGGAAAACACCGGCAGTTCCTTAATAAACTAAACATACAAACTACTAAATGACTTGGCAAATGCAATCCTCAGCTTTTATCCCAGAGAAATGAAGATTGATGTGTGCACAAAAAAAATCTGTGCATTAGTGTACATAACAACTTCATTTGTTTTCATCAAAATCTGGAGACCATCCTGGTGTTTTCCAATGAACACATGGTTCAAGTGCGACACATGCATACCCTAGAATACTACCCAGCAAAACTGAAAGAGTGGACTCTTGATACGCAAAACCACCCTGATGAGTCTCCAGGTAATTATGTTGACTGGAAAAAGTCAACCTCCAGATGATTCCGTCTATATAACCTTCATGCTGTGATAAAAGTACAGATGTAGAGAATAGATTAGTGGTTTCCAAGGAGGTGGGATAGAAGTGGGTGTGGCTAAGAGGGGCCACATGACAGCTGCTTTTGGTGATGGGAATGTTCTGTATCTTGGCTGTATCAATGTCAATATCCTGTTTTGCAAGATGTTACCATTGGAGGAAACTGATAAAAGATACCTGAGATACTCTTGTGTCTTACAACTGCATAGGAATACAGTTGCATGGAAAATAAAAGTTAAATTTGGAAAGTGACACAAATGTCTATGCACATAGAGTTTACACACCAGTGCAGCAATTTATAGACAATAGACCAAACCAATCAAGAAAACATTTCGTATGTTAAAATAAGAAAAGAGTAAGGACATAAAAGATATAGAGAAATGAGATAAAAGGTACAAAGACCAATGTGCAATATTAAATGAATGAAAAATATCAGAGAGGGGTGACATCTAGGTAATGAATTCATTAAAGGAGTGAACTCCCGAGTTTTATCTGTGTGGAGAGCTTTCCAGTGAGAGGGAACAGCATGAGTAAAGACCCCAAAGAGGCCAGTGTGACTGGAAAGTATGATAGAGGGACAGAGTAATAGTACTCAAAGTCTTGGAGGAAGCAGGCAGTAGGTCATATAGGGCTTTGTAAACTATTGTAAAGACTTCTGGCTTTTTCTCTCCATGAAATGTGGCAGTTAAAAGGAGAGAGAGAGGTGAGAAATTCAATGTGGATGCTTATAACCTAGAATTGACAATGTCCTGAACCAACTGCCAGTTCTCAGATTAAAATCCAGTCTATGGGGTGTGAGGCTCTGTTCTTCCCATTAAATTCCTGTTCTGTATGTGTCCACATGTATCCTTATAAAATCCACCAAGCAACCTCCCTCACATGTGTGGGTGGCCAGCAAATCTCTTTGTTGCTGTGAGCACAAGACTTAAACAAAAACACCATAATAAGTACTATTTAAAGGATGCCAAAATGTGCAAGACAGAATTATTTCCCCCCAAAAAAATTCTACAATCTGTCAGAGAAGAAAATGAAAGTAGAAAAAGTAACAGAGCAAAATGGGTGGTGACCTAAGAGATACCAACCACAGTGGAAAAAAATAGAAAAAAATGATTAATTCTAACAGGGTAAAATAGGTAATTCTTCATGGGGGAGGCAAATTAAATTTTGAAATGTATGTAGGATTTCAGGAGGCATAGATGAGGTAAGAGCATATTAAATGCAGAAGTTTTACAGAGATGAAGGGTTGGAAACAATTACTTTCAAGAGTAAATTTGGATAATATTAATTTTGTCATACATTTTTGTCAGTTTTGACATTTTCACTATAAGATTGGTAAGTGGATGTTAAAGATAAATTAGGTAGAAATAATGACAATTACAAGAAATAGTACTTTGATGGGTAGCTAAGTTTGAAGAGAAAATTTAAAATCTTTACATAAGAATTATCTGTTTTTATAATGTAAAAGTTTTTCAACCAAATTTTCCAAAACATTTACCTTGAAGAGCAAAATAATAATTCAAAGAAAAATTTTATGACAGGACGTTGATGAAACAGGTTCTATATATTGTAGCAGAAATACTACTCTGTTTATACAGTGAATACAATATGCCTGCTAGGAGAATGTAACGAATTTCCACATAACAGCTTTATGAAATAATTCTGAATTACAATGTCCAGAGGTACACAGGAACTGGCATTCATCTTCTTAATGGACCAAATTCCAGAATATACCAAAAATACACTAAACCAAAGAGATTATAATCTTTAAAAATATAAAGTGATATCTAAATTCATTCCTTCACGTTATCTATCTTTCTCTCCCAAGCCATAGTAATATGCTAATATATTATAAAATATATAGCAGAAACTTGGCCCTAAAATGTATTTGAGAATGATCACTGAGTCTGATGATGCACCATTAAGTCCACGACAGAGAGAAGGGGGTGGAGGAGGGCAGAGAGGGAGAGAAAGACTGGGACCAGCCCGTGAGAAGGGCTGACTCACCTTGGGGAAAATTCTCCATCCATCTGTCTTACATTTTGGCACAGCCTGGGAGCAAGGCAGGCAGGGCTGCTTTGTTCCGATGATCATTTCAAGAATGTCTGCAAAGCAAACGCTTGGAGGAAAGAAGCAATGATTCCCTTCAGAGCAAAGGGCAGGTTGTGTCCAGGCTTGGCGATACCGCTGGTACCTCCCTCTGGAGCTACGGGCAGGTAAACCTACTGTCCAGCATAATAAAGGTAGGAACACCTTTTGAAGGACACATCAGGTCTTGTTTGCTGTTCTGCTTTTTTTCATTTGTCCATGAAAAATTATTTGGGGTCAGGGTGCCTCTCCTATAGTACAACCCATTGCATAGGGCAGGTGTTAACGGGGCCTGTCCATGCTGCCTTATGAGAATTGGACTCACACAAGAAAATTCTAATACACTGGCTCCCACTACTTCTGTGAGTGATAAAGTCCAGTCGTTTGTCTCTAACGCAAGGAGTCTTGGGTCTTCTGCCAGCCACTAAGAAACTGTGGCAGGCTAACTTGTTAGGTTGCATGTAAGATAAAAAATCTCAGGCTCTTCACAGTTCCTGACAAGTTAATGATTTCTATCTTAGTATTGAGGTTCATTTTTTTAATTGCATTACCTTGATTTCTCACAATAGTGTTTTCAGCCCTTTAGTAATCCTCAACTTGCAGAAATATGTCCTTAAATCTCTCTGCCACCCAGGGTATTAGTGACAGCACCCAGCGCTATATAGTTCCATACTTGGGAACATTGAAGATGGGTGAAATTAATATATAAAATATTCTTAATCTCAGGGAAGCCTGCTATTTTATTTTCACTTGACCAGTGTTCTTTTCATAATGTAGGAATTGAGGGGTTTATTTCTGGGAACAATTCTACTAGTGGAAATTGGCAGCCTTGTGTACAAACTAATGATATGGGCATCAGAGATGGCATAATGTTTCTTTGGTTCTTAGAGGCTCTACAAGAAGAATAGGTAAAGTTCTTGCTAAGATCTGCTCATTAGCAGCACATGATTACAGTTTGCTAAGTATTTCTTGAATTTAAAAAATATCAATCTTTCTTAATAGAGTGCCTTAATTGTTATCTATGTCAACCACAAAAACACATTTCACAGAAATGAGTGACTAAAAATTCTCCATTCCTATGCATTTTTTAAAAATTGAGACATTTAGTGTTCTCCCAATTAGTGTGTTAAACATATGCATCTAATCAGAACCTCCTCTGTAAAATCACAATCTCCCCTGTCATGAATAAATCATTGCAATTCATTACAATAAAGCAAATGTTTTTTGAAGACAAAACTCAAAGGGAAGGGAACAACAGGAGAGTAGACAACAGTAATGATCAAATTCTAGAAACAGGGGTACAAGCTGATGAGTTGATTTGCTTTATTTAATAGACCCGAGAAAGCTAAATCCTTAATTAGAAGTCAGGAGAAATGGAAACAACCTGATCTGACCAGAGAATCCTCAAAGTCTTAGGAAGTAATGGTCTCAGAATCACCCAAACTGGAGGGAAAGTTGGGTCTACACTAAATATATAATGTTTAAAAAATGCTGGTCAGGAGTTAGCTTTCCTAGATCCCCCCTGATGACACACGGGCCGCCCTGCCGTCCCTGGGCCGGAGCACACGGGGAAGGAGGAACATGATTATGACTGAGTTCTGTGCTCTCTGGTCCTTTGCCTCCAGCGAACGCCCAGGAAGCCGGCAGCGAGGGGTCTATCCTTTCAGGCATTAACAGCCACAGAAAAGGCAGAGGAAATATCAATGAAACTAAAACAGAATTCTATTTTTAAAGAAAACATGTTTTCAGAAACTCATTTGGGCAAGGCAAATGGAAACCCAAATAGCAAAACTTTAAAAAAAAAAAACGAAAGGTGTTGAAACATAGTTTTAGGAAATATCTCAGAAAGTACAGCAAACTGTAAAGAGATAAAACATTGTACAGAAAATTTAAGAAAATACAGGGTTTGTGCAGGTGTCCAACATCTGAATAAGAAAATTTTCTGGACAAGGAGAAAAAGGGAAGGGGGGAAATGGGCAATACTTAGAAGCATCACCCGTTAAGGCTGTAAGTTATGTTCAAGAATAGTCACCAGATACCCCCAGTCCCTATGCCGCTGTTAACCTGGGAACATGGGTCTTGAGGATGTGGCAATCAAGTCTGTGTCCTTCCATTCTTCAGTGTCTTGGATCAGCTGAAAATATTTTCTTTAATCCCAGAGAAGTGCTCTAGTCTGACCTTGTCTTAAGATCTGGCGTACCCCACGGGAAACTTAGCAAAACATACCGAGTGACCTACCCTGCCTGAACTTTTGCAGGGCTCGGTGGCCAGCATTTAGCTGGCATTGCAGCCCTGATAAATGATTCTGCCACGAGGAAGCATATGCTTTGCTAGGCTCCTCCAAGACACTGACCATTCCCTTCCCCAGGGAAGCTCCGAGTTACGTGGTGATCCAAACGCTCTGGGCTTCCCCTCTCCTGGGTGTGGTCACCTGTTCTTGCCTTACAACGTTAACTTTGTGATGGCTACCCAGCTTTCCACAACTGAACAATGTATTCTGCAGGTATGACTATGTTGGACATAAATTAGAAGGAAAAGCAAAGGAGCAATTAACGTTAGGTTACTAATTGCCTCTGGGAGTTGGAGAGAGATGCAATTACGGAAGGACACAGGGGTTCTCAGGCACTGGGCACATTCTGATTGTTCACCTGCACTTAGCGGGCACATGTAGAAATCAGACAGTGCTTATGCATTTATATGCATGTCTGTATGTAGGAATTATTTCAAAATAAGGCAGTTTTTGAAAAGGGGCACTCATAATGCCAAGAAGGTAAATTAGGCTACTAAAATATGTCACGTTTTTTAGCTTCTATGATTATATCAAACACAGTCTGTGGAAAAGACAGTTATAAGTATCTACTAGCTCTTACACTTACCAAAGAAAATCTATTGGAGATAAAGGTTACTTGATTGAATATATAAATTTTCTCCCCCCCCATTTTTTTTTTTTTTTTGGTCATGGGAGTGAATTTACAGGAAATTTTTTGTTTTCAGACACTCATTATATAGAGAGTAAAGAAGAAGGTGAATATTCTCTGAGAGAGAGTTTCTGTAACTGGAGTCAATAGAATTCAATAGTTACAACTTTCTCAATAACGTTTGCTTATTTGTCAAAAAATTATTTTGCATCCTATATTTTAGAACATTTTCTGTTCTACAAGGCTATAATATTTTTTTCCAATTATCTTTAAATATTCTTTCAAAGTGTTCAGCCAGCTCCTGCTATAGACTACTGTCACACTTTGGTAAATAGATACAAACTTGATTATTCTGCCCTCTGCATAAGCACATAATTATCTAATTAGAAAGAGCAACATTTCATTAAGCAATGCAAAACCCCATGTCTTTCTGCTTTATTAAAAACCTGTTTTGTTTTACCAAAGCTTGACTCTAATGCCATCACAACCTGTTTTAAAATGGTTAGAAATGCAATTGTCATTTTTAATTTAAATCCAAAATGGATTTATCATTGATAATCTAACAAGTTAAATCACGAAATATCTGTCAAAAGTGTCTTTACACTATAACTGACTATCTTGGCAGGAATGTTTGTAGAAAATAATGCTTGTATTTATGGTGTTAATTATTTTGCCAAAGTTAGGAGGAAAAGAAAATAGCCAAGTATTAGGGCTTTGAAGGGACAAAAAGAAACTTCTATTTTATATACCAAGAGTAATACAAACCAGCAAGATACTGGAATAGCCTCCCAAAAGGAATGACTATTTCCTTGTGCCATTTGCAAAGAAATACAGGGTGGGGCAAAATGATATTTAACTGATGATTTAAATAGGGAACAGATGAACTGAATGACTGGAGCCGTTGTGAAATGGACTGTATCGATTTGGGTTCGGTTAGAAAGGACTAAGCTAATAATATAAGCAGGAAATTAGACGTGCACATTATCACTGGAAGGAGTGAGGAAAAGCCCCTCCCGGCTTTGAAAATGTGAGAAAGAGAGAATGGCTGGAGAGAAATGCCCAAGAACTGCAGGTCAAAGGATGACAGTGGGAGCTACTGGCAAATGTTCACCTCACCAAAGCCCATGTATGTGCCTATATTAGTGTCTTTTCTTCTGTCTTCAATTTAGTTGATTTACATAAATGAGACAGATGGGACTCTTGCTGGCAAGGGATAGATCAAACCTATCACAGGTTTGGCAGACTTTAGAAATTATTGAGAAAGCCCTCATAAGCAAACCCAATTGTCTCATTAGATGCTCCCAAAGCTTTGATTGATTGATATTTATTGAAGTAGAGTTGATATACAATCTTATATTGATTTCAAGTATACAACACAGTGGTTCATCCTTAACCCACATTATTAAATTCTCACCACTACTAGTAGAGCTACTATCTGTCAGCATAAGAAAATGGTACAGAATCATTGGCTGTACTGTCCATGCTGTTACTACCGTCCCAGAGACCAGCTTCTATTATGATTGAGAGTTTTTGTATCCCTTTGTCCCCCTCCCCATCTCCACCCACCCACCCCAACTCCTTTTAGAAGGAGACAGAGCATAAATATGTTTACTAATTCTTAAGTCACCCACCAGAAAGACTTTACGTAAAGGTATCATATGAGATACTTAGAATAAAATGCATTTATGCTGTTTTCAAGTTCTGCAGAAGTGGCTCCTTTGTTCTCTTCCCTTTGAACATACAGTTTTCAGGATTTTGTAGCTCAGCAAACTTCTGCACATAGTTTTATCCTTCAACATCTGCAAGCTGAGTTTATTAATATTTATGATTATACAAGGAATTGATTTCAGATTGAACAGATCTTCCCAAATAAAGATACCTAATACCAAGGCCCCTAATTAAGATTTGTGCAAGTTTCCAATCAAATCTAACCGGAGAGGACCCACTTTTTAGAAGTGCGAATTCCTTATTCTGAAGCGAGATGTGTAGCCAGTAACAAAATGCATCATTAAAAACGAACCGTGTACAAAGCAGAATGATTAGCCAAACAGTACATGTCCCCATTTAAACTTGAACGCAACAATTTAAAT